GCTATGAGTCGAATCCACTCAAAGACAGTGAGGGTTTTTTTTTTGTTTGTTTTTGTTTTTTAACATAGTAAGATGATATGCCAAAATGAGAAGCCCCTTGTGCTGGAATCAGAAGACTTGAATTTGAGTGTTAGTCCTCACTTGCAGCGTTTGACAAAGTAAATGACAAACTCATGATGCTTCAATTTCTTGTCAGTAGAATGAAGACAACAACTTCTGCCAACTTTTTCCAAAAGTCATAATTAAGAACAGAGATAATATTGGTAACAGAAATTTGTAAAATACGAGGTCCTCAATGCCTATCTGTAAACCTGCCTCCAAACAGATGCTCTGAGTTCCATGGAATTAGGTCAGTCTCAACAACACCCTGGTCAGATGAAGTGGCCTTTGGATATGTCATGTAGGATAGGGTCTCTACTAGATAAACTGGATGTTCTACATTACCTTAAACTCCACAACTAAATGAGAAGCTCATTTGAAGTTGCATTCTATGCCCACTAAAGCTCTTTCTCTAGAATTCTAAACAAGTTACCCCTACCACCTAGCAGTCAGACACTGGACTTTTTTGTTGTTAGTTGCCTATAGAGTCAGTCCCTGACTTAAGGGATCAGACTATTGTTCCATCGATCATGAGGCTTTTTCCCTAGTCTGTCTTACTCTGTAAGCTCCACTGATGCTTGTTCAGGTCATAGCAACATGTAAGTCTCCACCTATATATGGGTGGTGGCTGAGCTTCAGGTGCACTGGTCGGTAACTAAACACTGGTTTTCTTCCTGGAAGACAAGAATTCTATCACCGAAACCACCACTGTACCCAAACACAGGGCAGTGATTCATAAGGCACCTTCACCCTCACTGCCTATGTCTGATTGGTCACTAAGTTCTGCCAGTGTGACCTAAATAGCTTTCAAATCTACTCACACTACCCTCCCCCATCTTTGCCATCTAGACTGAGTGACCATCTTCCCCTCCCTGGACCCTTCTGGCTTCAGGGCCTTCACTCATGTATCCCTCTCTGTCCAGAATGCTCTACCCCACATCATTTCTTGAAGGCCTACATTTATATACTGTCTCTTCAGAAAAGTCCTCTGGGGCTTGTTATGGATTGAATTGTGTCCCCAAAAGTATCTTTTGTGAATCCTAAACCTGTGGATGTAATCTCATTTGGGAATAGGACAGTCTTCATTATGTCAATGAGGCCAAGTCAGTGTAGGAGGCGTTCTATACCCATCACCTTTGAGTTATAAAAAAGAACAGATTAGTCATAGAGAAGGAAGTACAAATGAAGAGGAAGATACATGTCACATGAAGCAGAGTATATCTATGGAAAACAGTGCCTGGGGCAATTAGTTTTAAAGAGCGGGCAGTGGAAATTGTGATGGCAAATAGAAACTGTACATTGGCATCCATACCCCACTTCAAGTGGCTCCAGGATATGCAACACCCCTAGATAGCCCTCTGCATGAAGATCATCCAGGACCTGAGGAGCAGAAGCTGAAAAGAGACAAGGACCTTCCCCCAGAGCCAACACAGGGAGAAAGCTTTCTGCTAGATTTCTGTGGTGCAGTGGTTAAGCCCTCAGCTGCTAAGGGGGTTGGTGGTTTGAACCCCCCAGCCACTCTTCAGAAGAAAGATGTGACCATCTGCTTCCATGGAAGACATACAGCCTCAGAAAGCCTACAGGATGGCTCTACTCTGCCTTCCAGATCACTGTAAGTTGGAATCGACTCAACAGCAATGAGTTTTGCTTTGCTGTTTTTTAGATCTGGTGTCCAGAATTTAGACTTCTACCCTTCTAAACTGTTTATTAAAACTAAATTTCTGTTTATTAAAGACACCTACCCACTTGTGGTATTTCTATTGTAGCAACACTAAGAAACTAAGAGAGCTCTGGTAGCGTAGTGCCTAAGGCATTTACTGCTAACCAGAAGGTTGGCAGGTCAAACCCACCAGCTACTCCTCGGAAGGAAGATTGGGCAATCTAAGACAGGATATCAGACTAGGTCAGGTCCCGTCTCACACTTTCCTTATATATGCTATTTCTCCTTTGTAGTTCCAGTTGCAAAAGTACTTAATTAATTATGGAATTATTGGCATAATATTTGATTTCCCCACTCACCTGGAGGTCTCTGTGTGCAAGACTGTAGTCTCAGCACCCAGAATATAGCTAGGCTAATGACAAGTGTTCAATATGTAGTTACTGGACCAAGGAACACAAAGATGTTTAAAGATTAGAAACATCAAAATGGAATATCTAAGGAGCCCGAGTGGTGCAATGGTTAAGTACTCAGCTACTACCTGAAAGGTTGGTGGTTCAAACTCACCTAGCACCTTCTCAGGAGAAAAGCCTTGGTTACCTGCTATGAGTCAGAGACAACTTGATGGCACCTAACAACAACCTGCACCTGTAAAGATTACAGCCTAAGAAACCCTATAGGGGCAGTTCTACTCTGTCATATAAGATCCCTATAAGGTAAATTGATTCTGTTACACAACTAACAAAAATGTGATTTATTAAAGGCTGACAAATGTTTATAGAATCTCAAAGTCTTCTTGAACATCAGGTGACTTTTTGGCACCATAAACAGCACTTGGAATCCTCTCTCTCACCAAAGCTTTGTGTGACCTGTTCAGATCATCTGTCTTCTCTGTACACTGGTCTTCTCTGTTTGGAAAGTGGAACAAGCAATCAGACTCTCAAGCTGTCCCCAGAGTTGTGTGAGACGACGAGGTGAGAATGCTAAGCACGCTGTAATGGCTGTGGGGGGCTAAGCTCAGAAGTCACAGAACTCCTGGAGGGGCTATGTGCGGAGGGTCACATTATAGTGGGGCAGGTCAGATGGTACTACAGTCCACAGTTGCTCATTGCACAGTTAATTAGCAAGTTAAGTTAACGATCCCATTTGATGAGGTAATAGGCTCTAAGGCAAGCTTTACAACTGGCTTCAAATGCCATTTAAGCATACTAGGAAATTTCAGTTAACTAGTGAAAACTGTTCATTGGACATAAAATAGTTGGTATTTTGTTTTAAAGATTAAAAATAATAGCATCAACAGTTGAAATATTTATCTACATGCTTCACAACTGGGACATGCTTCACAACTGGGAATTCATTATTGGGCTGTAAGACCTAGGTCAATGCAGCTGAAAGCCTCCATTCC